AAAGCATCTTTGTAAAGTAACTGCTTAAGTAAGTTGAAGATATTACAGCGAAAAGCAGTGGGGAAAATGCAATCGGCATCTTTTGAATGTGACTTCTTGGCGATTGATCGTGGAAAGTGGTTTCATTTCAATCTGTAAAGCATAACAACACATCGACGAAAATAGTCATTAAAAGAAATTTTTCTTAAGAAGAAGATTTTTGCTGAGCTACGTGACTTCTTAAGGACAACCGAAGGACTAAACAACCTTTGATTTTTGCTGTTTTGTCGGCACAAGTGTGATCTTAACATGTTGAACAGAAATCGTAAAATACAAGCAGTGAGCATTGGCTGTATGGACAACAGCCGGTTCATTACAACCCTTTTGGGCAGGATTGTTTTGCTGTTTAATGTAAGTAAACGATTCTTAATACATGTAATGCCTTTTGGTCCTATATAAATTCATTTTAGTTTTGGATTAAAAGTGTTGGTTTTCAAAATGAGAATCATTGCTCGATCAGTATAAACAAGTTTTCTTGACAGCATATTTGAATCGACTGCTTGTAGATTGTAAGTCATATCGGTTTAACTGGAAAAAACGTCTTTTTCAAAAAAGATTTCAAAATGGATATAATAAAGTGGTAATTGAACTTCGTGTCGTGCAATTTTGGTCTGAAATCAAACTTGCAATTACAAATCGCACTCCAGCTACGCGGTCGTGCGATTTTGTAATCGCGCGTTTGATTTCAGACCAAATTGCACTCCACTCAGTTCAATTACCATTATTAATTGGACAGGTCTTGTTGATATGGGATTAATTAGGCAGCTATATAATAGGTAATGGGATTTCATGCTGTCCAATTAAGGAATAATTAGACTCGAAAAATTCCTCTGACTACCAAATTTTGTCAGTCCTCGGAATTTTCCTCGTCCAATTATTTCTTAATTGGACAGCTTGGAGTCCTATTACATATACTTATAATGATTTCTTACGAAGAGAAACGTTTGAGCTTTTTCTGTGACCTTGTGTTAAGATATTTAGGTCTAAAACTACCTTCAGCATTCGAGCATGTTAACCTGGTTCCATCGACAAACATTTTTTAAGTAATGCTCTATGCCCTCTAGAGCCTTTGTAAAATGGAGATTTATGCAAAATGTCCCCTATTTTTTTACCTCAGTCAAGGTTTTTCTGCTAACGAACGTGTTTCGGTGAACTAACTTTAGAAACTTCGAATTAAAACCTCGTTCGAATTACGCTGTTTTTTAGCTAAAAAAGTACCTTTAAGTTGGTTCCTTCGGCCTCCATGATCAACGGAGAGTTCCACAGAGAAAGGATTCCACAATTTTGAAGGGGAAAATGGCCAAATTTTACGAAAAATTCGACCAAAGATAACGAAAATATTCATTCCTATCCGCCATGTTGTAAACAGACTCGGTATATTTGGTCCCATGCCCTCACAATCAAATTAAACACAGGGTTCTCACTATATTTCAGTACTATAACCCTCAATCTCGTACCCAGAGCCCACTTTCCTCATGGTCAGCACCGAGAAACGAAAGGCTCTGGTTGTAACTGATTTTCAGTTGGCTTCTGGTCCGTGAATTTCGGACCGGAAGTTTAACTGCGCATGCCTTAATCACAGGTAAGCTGATCTTTGGGTTACCTTTGATCTTTAGGGGTTCAAATAGACCAGTTTCGAATTCCAAATTACCAGTGTGTTCCTTGATTACAGACTCATTTGCACAGGGTTAGGCTCGTATCAGTGTTTAAATATTCACAAATACCAACAGTAAAGTAAAGAATGCACAACTTCAACAATACAAGTACTTTGAAACTCGACGGACCTTGACTGGAACACGTGAATATTCTGCATAAACTCGAGGCTAACCCTGTGCAAATGAGTCTGTAATCAAGAAACACAGCGGTAATTTGGAATTCGAAACGGGTCTATTGCTTCGAACAAACGGTAATCAATTTTTGACCTTTTTAGCTTGAATATAGTAGTTAAATCATTTATCCTTTGCCTTCTTAAAGTATATTTAGYAAATTTTTTCCCCGGGTACTAATTGCTTGTGCTATTTTGTGAGTTTTTAACACGCTTTTTTGAGTTCAAATCATCACGACAAATGCAAGAACGATCGGCCGCCAACTCGACTCTCACTAATCCTTGTGAAAATTTGCTTAAATTCCAGTCTCCTTCTCATCTACTTCGGGTATGCGAAAAATTGATTATCGTACCACATTCTAGCAAATTTTGAGTTCGATCCAAGCCAATTTAGTGCTTGAAAAATCCACTTATTTCCTGATATTTTCGAGTCTGCTAGCCATTTTATTTCCGGAACGACTCTTTCTATAGTTTTTTCCCGGAATGCTCAAAAAATTGGTTACAACCAGAGCCTCTCGTTTCTCGGTGCTGACCATGAGAAACGTGGGCTCTGGGTACGAGATTGTATAACCCTCTGTAAGTTAACTTCGTTCACTTGAAAATTGATCAAAATGGCTGATGTTTTTACAGAATACGAACGGAAAATCATAAACCAAAAGCCAAAAGTTGTTGATCCACCTTTACGTTATATAAATCAACAGAGAGCTAGAGAGTTTTTTTTTTGCTATTGAAACCCCTTATCCCATCTTAAAGGCTGCCTATGAGATATTTGGGGAAGTGAGCAATGGGAGGTACCGCTGCTCAATATGCGCAGACTCGAAATGCCCCAGATTTCTGGTGATGAACTGCCTAAGCTATAGTGAGGTTTACAATTGTGTGCAAGAAAAATTATTATTATGCAGTTTATTAAACATCTGGATGCGAGGCAAAGACACTCATAGGGCGCGTAAACGTAACCTATGGGTGTTC